CAGGCCTACACGAGATGAGGCAGGATAAAGAGGGATAATCCCCCTCGATCCCAAATCATTGAGGCCAATTTCTAGCCATAGAATAATGGCGAACTGTAATAGCATGGATACAGCGCAATGAAGAATGGGGAACATTCGTATGGAATCGAGTGACTGAAATTCGTCAGTTAACACATGCACATCAGTGGTACCATGTTCCCGGAAAATTCAATCTGGCAGATCTTCCATCTCGAGGTTGCACGGCTAAACAACTTTTGGACTCGAAATGGCTGGAGGGACCAAGTTGGCTATATCAAAATTGATCAAATTGGCCGACGGAAAACCCAACAATTAATGAAGAAGAAATTGCGAACGAGCGCAAGAAAAAGTTAGTTGTAGCACTTGTAAATACAGCGTATTCCGATTTTTGGCATTTGTTCTATTTCAGTAGTTTTATCAAAACTACAAGGATGATAGGTTGGATTTTTAGATACATAAATAATGTGAGATACCGAAAAAAGCGTGTCGAATGGCCCCTAGGGCGTATCATAGAACTTATTCCAGGTCAAGACTGACATATTCGATTGGTTCGAGTTAAAACTGTACGGGGTGAACTATTGAGACCTTACGAGACTTACAATACACAAACGCTACACAGACAATAAGACAAAACGCGGAGAAACGGTTTGACGTAGCCGCTAGACATGACAATCCCCTCCTCAGGCAAGCCGTTGACCACATACCCGACGTGACCGACAAACACAAAAGACCTAGACACCAACTTNACACACACACACACACACACACACACACACACACACACACACACACACACACACACACACACACACACACACACACACACACACACACACACACACACACACACACACACACACACACACACACACACACACACACACACACACACACACACACACACGCCAGGAACAAGAAACGAAGACAACAACACACACCCACACGCGCACCCGCACGCATCCACACACACACACACACACACACACACACACACACACACACCTATGCACGTACGCACGCGCCCACGCACCCACACGCCCACGCACACGCACACACACACACACACACGCACACACACACACACCATACCTCCTATTCTTACTCCTCCCCTCTCGCGCTAGCATAAGGCCCACCTTAGCAAAGCGCATCCCAGGCTGCATAGCCGCACTACCCTACCTAACCATACCACACATAAACATGACACTACCCCCGGGGTTTACACAGACGAGCCGGCGAAGCAAGAAGAGCGCCAGAAGAAAGGGCCCTAGCCGGCGGGCCCAGCCAAGACAACGGCCGCATTTGCGGTCGGGGTAGACGACGGATGGGGCCCACCTACGAAGGCTGTCCAGGCCTACACGAGATGAGGCAGGATAATGAGGGATAATCCCCCTCGATCCCAAATCGTTGAGGCCAATTTCTAGTCATGGAATAATGGCGATTATAATCTATGCTTTATAAGGTCTATGGTATTAGGTTATAAATTAATAAGTATTACTTGTAATTTATGTTTTACATTGAAATAATGCAGTTAGTTGTTGTATTAATAATATAGTTTTTAATCTATAAACATGAACCGCACAAAGTTATTGTGTTTTAATAGAATATTAATTAATGAAAATGGTAATTATACATTAAATAATGTCCTTTTAAGAACATTTGCTTTTAAAAGTGATTTAAAAATAAAATGGGTTCGTCCAGAAAAAATTCCTTGCCATAAACCTGAAAAAAGTGGAGATCTAGAAGGGATTCCGAAGATAGATAAGAGGCAATTGATATTAGATTTTAACAATTCAAAGGAACTAAAAACTGCTGATGATAATGTTAGAAAACTATTTATGTTAGAATTTGCACCAAGAAAATATACAAATAGATATATTATTCATAAAATAGTGGATAAAGTTAGGCGTCATGAGTTTGACGTGGGTTCTGCAGAAGTAAAAATAGCAAAATGGACAGGTAAAAAAAAATTATATGTACTTGAAAATATGAAATATATAATATTTAGGGGGTTAACCACTAAGAAATAGGTGTATGTTTCAAAGGGAATACTTATGCAGGAAATAATGAAATATGGGGGACTAAGGAGCAAATACAGCAAGCATTACTTGAAAATATTGTTACTTCAATTTTTAATGTGTAAAGAATAAATAGTACCTAACATCTCCAATAGAGTATAGGTGTTCATCATTCTGAGTAGTGAATAACAGCTCGTTTTTAATTGGGTATTATATTACAGGTTCGTAGCAGACGGGAAAATCGGGAAAAGTCAGGGAATTTGTTATTCTTCATAAAAAACGGAATAGTCAAGGAATTTTAAAAATACTCATGAAAGTCAGGGAATTTGATGTTTGCAACTGGAAATTTTGTGAAAGCCGGCCCTGGGTTCTTGAAAGAGAAAACTATTTGTGGTTTTGAAACCTTTATAAGAGGTTGTTAGGGTATAAAAAAGATTATGGAGTCGTCGAGAAAAAATTTAATGCATAAAAATCAATTAGTATGTAAAAATGAACTACAAGTGACCTGAATTTTTAGTTATAAGTTAGGGAAAACCTGGAAAAGTCAGGGAATTCTTTATTACTTTTGAACTATGAACCCTGTATTAGTGACAAATATGTACAGCAGAGTGAATTTCATACTGTGTTGTAGCTGTTTCAATAATCACTTCAGTTGATACTGGTACATGTACAGGGAAGTGCTTGCCTAAAGAAACTGCAAACTGATGTAAACACACTAGCAAGTTACTGTAGCAAAAACCCATGAGCCTTCATTCATTAAGCAGGTCATATATCTGATGAATGTTGTCGATCGTTCGTATTAACGAAAATGTTTTCGTCAGATGTAGATTTGGCATGAGCACAAGACCATTTTACTCGCAGCAAAAGGGTATAAATGTGAATAAATATGCTTCATTGGTTGCCGGTAATAAAATTTACAAAATTTGCAACCAGCATTTAGAAGTACGCTATTACTTCTTGCCAGTTCTTCGATCTCTTTGTCACCTTGTAACTGCCGAATGTGTGGAACAAATGTCCACTAGAAACATTTGTATCCAAAGCTACAAACAACTGCAATTTTTTGCAGTAGAAATAATCTAAAGTATTTCTAATTGAAACAAATGCATTAGACAGAAAGAACTGCAGGAGATACATTATCTCTTAGTGTAATGACATATTAGGCGGGAAACCGCAAAAACGCTAAAACTAGCGGCGCGCTTAAAAACCGCCAGCAGTGTAATCTCAATGCACCATGACATATTACGTGCCCGCCTGCCGCTGCGATCGGCGGCAAACTGTAGTCCGCGCCTTGTCGGCGGGAAAGCGATTTGCGGTTTGGGCAGAGGAAACATACACAAACTAACGGCTGATGACAAATTGTCTACTGAACCGCTGCGGTTTGCAGCTCAGTGTGTTTCGTGATTTTGACAAGGACTCTGCGGAACCATGTTCACAGAAGTTCATCGAATGATGCAATTGACATGCGATAGTACTTAAAAAAAATATCGGGGTGCTTTCTAATGTCTTCAAAAAATTTGGGGCATTTCCTCGAACGTACATTGTTATACGGGTGCACTGCATATCTGCGAATTCGTGGTTTTTTCAACAGACCTTCAGCTTCAGCAGCACAAGCAGTTACTATATTAACAAAATGTGCTACCTCCATGCTACAAAGCTAAACCACAGCAGATGACAAAAGGATAATGTGACCCTCCAGGTCCCATCCCCTGCCGCGCCGCCGAGCGATTGTGCAGTATGTCATCAGACAGAAAAGCGGTTTTCATTTCCGCCGCTTTTGGCGTTTTGCGGTTTCCCGCCTAATATGTCATTACACTTAAACTATTAAATCATATTGCCTTACTAATGTGACAAAAAATTAAAAATGCAAGTTACAATTAATTATGCAATTATTTAAATGTAAATAAAAAAAAATATGCACCTTTAAGTAGTTTGTTACTTTTGTTTTTGAGCAATTTTTATAAACTTCTTATACTTAACGAACATTTTTATTATTTTTAGGTATAATAAGAGCATTGCAAGAGGTACTTGAAGAGTTTCCTAGAAACAAGAAGTTGAAAGTTAACTTAAAAGAATTAATTGATCAAAGAAAGAAGCATTTAAAGTATTTAAGACGATGGGATTATAAAAAATTTGAATGGTTACTTGAAAATTTAAATATTATATACAAACCTACTCCTACTAATATTCATCCAGTCACAAGAAAAGATTCGTTACGAAAATTAACCCAAATATATTGCGATGATATAAAAGAAAAAAGGCTTGATGCTTACAAATTAAAATTAGAAAGCGAACAGCCAGCATTTTTGGAAGAAAAAATACGGGCATTACAATTTATAAGGGATGAACAAATGGAATGTGGTATAGAAGTTACAGTAACACAAAAAGAAATTGATGATGTCAAGGAACAGTTAAAACAATTAAATAATTTGAGCAGAAAGAACAATGATTAATTAAGTGGATAATTTTAGTTGTGTATTCTACAAAGTTGCGCTTAATTTTAAATACGGAAAAGTCTGTGTAGCTAAAACTTCAATAATATAAAAATGTCTCGGCGCAGATTTTATACTCATTTGTTTTACACTTAATTTGATTTCTTTAACTTGAAGTTTCTCTTGTTTCCAGATCAAATATGAAATACAAATTTTAAGCTATTGGCACAGAAGATAAAACAATCAGAATTATATCACATTGTCGGCACCTTTGATCACTGATGTCTTTTGTCAGGGACCTTGAATGACATAAATCCCCCACTTTTGGTATACAAAGTCAGGATTGTATTCAGTGAAATTTTATCGCGTTAAACAGGGATGTACTAAAAAAGCCAGGAATTTATGTACAGCAGAAAATGAGGTTAATCATGCAAGACTTGGTTTTTACGTGAAAAAGTTTTTTAAAGGCGAATTTTAGATTTATTTTATTTTTCAAACCAGTCTATTAATGAAATTATTCAATGTTAAAAATATTTATAGTTATAGATTAAACTACTGAATAATTACATATTCAATATTTATTAACATAAATTTATAAGTACTAGGCAAAAAATGAAAAATTAAAAGAATTGTAAACAAACATTTATTGTATAATATACAAATATATCTATCAGAACACAAATATGTATATACAGGGTGTCCCGTTAATGTTTCAAAAAAACTTGTGTGCAAGTTCCTCTTGGTAAAATAATGGGGGTAGTCTATGTAACGTTTTTTCTTAGACGCCCTGTTTTCGAGATACAGTGTGTTGAAGTTGTTAAATTTGTACACGAGTAAACATCAACTGTGCGTTAAGAACAATGTGCAAACGGTTTCTTTCTGAAAAGCAGTGTCGCCGATACAGGCAATTGGAGGGGTACAATAAAAAAAAAATACGTTAAAAATCGAAATTTATTACATTTCTAAACGGTTCTGTAAACTCAAAAACATACTACAAAAAAAGACATACTTGTCGAAATTCGGTAGCATGTACAATTTTCGAGAAGAAATAAGTTGCATAAAATATTAAATTGAAAGAGGACTTTACCATTGAATGGGCTGAAGACATTTGGCTACCAACAGTATTTGCATTTAAGACTAATTTTAATTTGTTACGAATCACATTAAACAGTTAAATTGTAAAACATTTTATTAACTAAAAAAAAATTAAATTCATTTTAAGTTTCAGATTGTTGTAAAACTAACATTTACTTAATTTGTCCTTAATTTTACAGTACCTTATAGAATAATACACTCGAACAATCATTTATTTACACAACACAATAAATCACGTAAAACGACGCCAATGCTCAACGCGCGGGATAACAAACGACAAACAGGTTCATAAAATGGCTAAAATGCTTTTGTAACTACGCCACTTTGTTCCTATACCAAAAGTGGGGGGTGCGTGCACCGATCTGCGCGAATACCCCCACCACGCCAACTTATAATTCTGGTTGTTTTATCTTCTGTGGNCTAGTTCTTTAAGGAGGATCGGGTGCTACAAAAAAAATGCAGCCGGTTTCGTATTATTGAGATATATTATTTTTGCAGTGCGAAATCAAATTCTGTGATATGAAAAATGAAATTTGCAAACGGTTTCTTTCTGAAAAGCAGTGTCGCCGATACAGGTAATTGAAGGGGTACAATCGAAGAAAAAATATGTTAAAAGTCAAAATTTCTGTAAACTCTAAAGGATACTACAAAAAAGGCATACTTGTCGAAATTCGGAAGCATATACCATTTTCAAGAAAAATTAAGTTGCATTTTTTGCTCACATAAGCGGCATAACAAAATATTAAATTGAAAGAGGACTTTACCATTGAAAGAAGACATTTATCTGCCAACAGTATTTGCATTTAAGACTATAATTTTAATTTCTTACGAATCACATTAAACAGTTAAATTGTAAAACATTTTATTAACTTAAAAAAATTTAATTTATTTTCAGATTGTTGTAAACTAACATTTAAAAAAGTAAATCAAAATCAGGAAACGCCATATTTCTTTTCAACACCACAATTCCTAGTTTTTATATTGTCTTTTATTTTCTAACACTTCATTTGTCCTTAATTTTACAGTACCTTATAGAATAATTATATATATACTCGAACAATCATTTATTTACTCCACAACAAAATAAATCACGTAAAACGCCAATGCTCAATGCTCGGGATAAAAATCGACAAACAGGCTCATAAAATGGCTAAAATGCTTTTGTAACTACGCCACTTTGTTCGCATACCAAAAGTGGGGGGTGCGTGCACCGATCTGCGCGATTACTCCCACCACTCCAACTTATAATTCTGATTGTTTTATCTTCTGTGCTATTGGACTGTTAATATTAATCAGTGAATGAAGAAAGAAGTCACTTTTTCACCCTAATCTTTATGTTCCACTTTTTTCGAGGTTTATACAGAGCCTTCATAAATGATTACAAGCCATGTGACCAGTTATTTTGTTTGGACAATTTTATTTCCTTCACTTTATCAATTAAATTTCAGTAAAATTAAAAATTATTAAAACAATAAGATCAAGATTACATTAAAACAACATTCTGCTTCACAGGCTGGTGATTGATGTAATTTTTCACAAGATTCTATTCTATTTCGAGCGTAGAGGTAACGGTTTATCATTTTTCATTGTAAAGGAATTATTAATGATGGTGACGTCAATATTTAGGGATTTTTCGTTATTAGTACGAGCCCTGCAATGTTGCTTGCCTAAGCTCGGCGATCACGTGGCTTGTAATCATTTATGAAGGCACTCTAGAACTGTGCTGCCTTTTTCTGAAATCACTTATTTGCAATTAATTTTAATCAGTTTTCAGTGTGTTTAAAATAATTTTCACATAAGAAATAATTGATTCTATATCTTATTCTATATCTATTACATGAAGAAGTAAATCACTAAGCAAAATAAAATTACTGCAACATCGCCAACAATTTTTTAATAAAATGGTAAAGTTGTAAAAGTTTTTACGGCGATTTGCAAGAAATTTGCGACAAAGTTATAACAGCTTTTCAAGGAAACGTTAATTTGGCGAGTTTATTGTAAACTTGTTGATAATCTTCCTACAACTTATCTTTACAGTTTTGTTGGGACTTTACTGAAAACCGCAATCTTCAAATATGCTTGCTTTGCACACTTTGCTGCACTAATTGACAAATGTAAACTGTCAAAGCTATTAAAACGAAAAGTCAAAAAACAGTAGATTTTCGAAACGTTAACGACATTTTAAAGTGCACGATATTAAGTAATGTGTTTTTGTATTTATCTCCTTTTTTCAGTGTGAGATTTTTGGTTTAGGCAAAACAATTTTTATAAATTTTTTTCAAAAGATGGCAAAATACCTCAACAAAAGAATAAAGATAAAAATGTACATGATGTCGAAAACTTTGAAATTTTATGTTTCTGCACATCTTTCCTACATACATATATAGATAAAAAAAATTTTTTACTCCACTGATAAAAATGAACGTTTGTTGACATATTTCTTATACCCCCAAGTTTTCAATGTTTATGAAGCTTAAATTATTATATTGTATTTTTTTACTTTTATCTGATCCTGCTTTGATGTCTCAACTCATAAAAAGAATTATTCACTTCACTATAATATTATTTTTTTTACATCATCCGTTATAAAGAGGACCGTGACCATGCAAGTGCGAAAACAGCAAACAACAGTAATAGTACACTTAGATACCTACGGAGGGCTCGAAAGCCAATAAGTGTAAGTCACTGAATATAGAAAATGAGAAAATTATAATAAAATAAAGATTCCCGTAAAGATACTAATTTTATGGAGATATAAACATTTCATATGTACATTTCAACTTTATGAAGAAACCTTCAATACTTAACTTATTTTCCAGAGAAAAGTGAGTTACACTGGCTTCTGAGGCCTCCATATATGTAATAGCACTATACAGGTACAAGAATTTGGAGTTTATTTTTGAGATCTAAATAAGACTTTTTTTCCTATAAACGTAAGTCCCCAAATACTTAGTTTTCAAAATACAGGGTGTTAGTTTCTTATTTTTTTAGATTTTTTAGGATGCTAAATTTAAATATGTCATTGTTTTTCACCGTTTGTAGAGGGTGCCACCTATAAGGATATGTTTGCATTAAATTGGTCCTAACTTTTTTGCTATCTTGTATATTAACATTTCATATTAATGTGTTTATTCCCCTATCAATTTTAAGCAAAAAAGATATACTGGGTCCAAATCTCTCAGAATAACAGTTTCCGAGATATTGGCTGATGAAGAGTTAAATGCACACCATACTGTATTTTCAAATTATTTTTAAGGTTAAAAAAATTTGGGTATTTTTTATTTTGCTCTTTTTTGTAATAATCTGTTTCTTGCCTGTATCATTCCTAAGAGTCTTAGGTTTCAACAAATTTGACACAAAACCTCTAAGAATAGTTGTAAACTAAGTAGTCATAGCCTACTATATTTTTTCTCTATGTATTTTGATAATGACAATACTACCGTTTAGTCAGCAGTGATTTTCTTGAAAACGGTTAGTTGTATCAAAAACTGTAGAGTAAAGAATGTTAAGAGTATGTAAAATAATTCAAGATCATTGCATTACTTATGGTGAAAATAAATTTTAATTTTTTTCCCCGTTAATAATACCGTTTCACCGTAATGAATAAAATTTGAAAATTTAACTCTTCATCAGACAATAAACGGTTGCTCTGAGAGATTTCGACCAAGTATACGTTTTTTGCTTACAATTGATAGGGGAATAAAGGCACTAATATGAAATGTAAATGTACAGGGTAGCTAAAAGTTAGGGCCAATTTAATTCAAGCGTACCCTTATAGGTGGCGCCCTCTACAAGCAGCGTCAAAATCAATGACATATTTAAATTTAGCATCCTAAACAACTCTCGTATCCCAAGTTGTATGCCAATATTCAAATTTGGAAATTCCTAAAAAATCGAAAAAATAAAAAGCTGTACATCGAAACCTAAGCATTTGTGGACCTATGTTTACAGGAAAGTCTTATTTTGACTTCAAAAATACACCCCTAAATTCTTTGTACTAAATTTTGAATCAACCTTTATAGAAAAGTACGACCAATCACAAATGGGATAGAAAATGTACCATTTAGTCCCAAATTTGAAATGTGATATTACCTATTTTAGAAATACCATGTTACACCGTGTTTGTATTAAACGATTACCATAAATTTGATGTTAAGCGTTTGGTAATTTAAAAAAAAAAAATTATATCAGCATTAAACTGAAACTTTACTTGGATGTTTTTTGAGAAAAGTTACAGTGATATAAATATTCCCGTTCCACTACAACATATGTTTTATAAAGTAGATGATAACTTGCAACAAGTTGCTATGTTCCTGAAACATTGTTGTTCACTTCCAATTGACTAGTTAAATCATTGATATGAAATATTTTAGCAAATTTGCAAGTACCTTACATAGTAAAATTACATAATTAAAATGAATGCAACTTTGTTAAAACATATTGTAAAATTTCTTGTTTAATGGGAAATATCTGCCATATAGTTTTCGCCAGTGAAGTGGTATGATCCGAGTCAATTTTCTCCGGATACACCGCTTAACACTCCATTTCTAAAAAGCGCTATTAAATTTTTTTGTAGGACTGCAGAGAGAAGTGGGCAAAATGTTACTAATGTGCAATATTAACAAAGATTTCTCTGTAAATTAGTATTTTTCATTAACAATAGCACGTCTAAGAAAAATTATTTCTTCCATTTTGTTTGGCAAAAACCGTTTTAGAATTTTTTTAATTTTACGTAAGTTGAAAATAAATCTAGGACTATTGTGTTACCTACTTTTATAATCTATTTTTTTTAACACGTTGACGGACAGTTCGAAATAGAGACAAGTGCATTTAGTGACATCTACGTAACATTACCAAAACATATTTGTTTTAAAAAAAAATAGTTATATTCATTTATTTCTTACTTTGTATAGATACCAATTTTATAACGAAAAAATCGAATGGCTGCAGATGCCGGTGTCAGATTACACACATTTTTCTACACAGTTTGTGACATAGACATATGAAACCAACATATTTGAGTGGACGTTTTATTAAAAACATGTAATAATTATTGGTGCCACAGCTTAAAACATGGAGCAGGACGCAATGGAGGCTTATCTGGACAAGTTTCACATCTGTATTGTTTCTTTTCTTATTTTATTTTTTGTACATGCCCTACATTTGAGGAAGAAACTTGTTTTCTTGTGATTATCAGGAACAGAAATTATTTCTGGAAAATGTTGCACACTGAATCGTTGAATGACCTTTGTTTTTTTATGGCACCTTGTTTCACACAAATTCTTCCATTTGAAACATCTCCCAGGTCTATAAGAGATCGTATTATATCTTCCCTGTAGTCAATAAGATATTTTTTTGACACCGTTTATATATAAGAAGTATGAATTCCATACTGCAATATTCAAAAGGTAAAATATTACCTTCTTATAACACCAAATAGTTTTTCTAGCTAGGTTGTTGTGACACCTCAACGGTAAACCATGCAAATCCGACATCTATGAACGTAGTCGCCAAGATATGGAGAAGACTATAGGATGTTCATAGACGTAAAATTAAAGTGTCACAGCACACCTCTCGACAATAACGTTTATAGACGTCGTCCGTCAACATGTTAAAAATGTCTTCGTTTTCTTAATTGTATTGTACTTTGTCTTATATATTTCAGTGATATTTTAAATTAAATTAGAAAAGAAACTGTCACTGGTGTTTACATCCAAAAATTACTCAGTTGTACATATTTGATAGTTTATTGAAACATTCTATATACATTAAAAAATTTCTAACTAAAATAAGATTTACAAAAACAATACCAGTGTCAATAAATTTTTTGTGTCAAACTTAAAATAGAAAGAAAATATAGCAAGTATTCTAATTAATTCATATCTTAATCTCTGTTCATCCATATAATAACTTTTAAAAGAAAATATGCAATTCCAAAACCTACAACAAACTTTTCTTTTTGAAGTCTGTTTAAATTTTCCAATTCTAATGCCATAATTCTTCTATTAAGTTTAGCCAACTGTCTACGTAAATGTAAAACCTCTTCAGCAGGTGTCAGACCCTCATTACCACCCCCAATAGGAGTAGACTCTCTAAAAGAATTAGAAACTTGAATACTTGAATCGTTTATATGTACTTTGGCATTAGGTTTGAAAACAAGGCTTTGTTCCACTTCTCGCTCTTCTTCATAATTCTGTACTCCGGGAAAAGGATATTTATCTAAAGTTAGTGTTCTAGGAGGTGTTGCTACCCTTGGTAAATCTGTTGGGTAAGGCTCAGAGGGAAGCAATGAATTATCAAAAACAATTTCCCGCGGAGGAGCTCTTGTACCTAAAAAAATATATTAAATAATTTTTTAACAGGTATACATTGAACAACATGTGAACTGACATTTTTAGCATTGACTAAAATAGTATATTGTGCAATATGTGCGGTAAGTTGTATATTGCCCACGAGAGTGGAGTTGAGCGCTGATCCGCACAAGTGAGCAATGGACAACTGCACGAATTGCACATACTTTTTGTTACGAATTCTAATCATGTTTTCACAGAATTTATTTTCAGATTTTTACTCAGTTTAGGTTGACATAAATAACTATCAAGTGTCATTTAAATTTAAAAATAATATTTTCGAGTGTTTTTTTTTTATTCATTAAATGAAAAATCAAGGGATGGCTCTAGCATAGATTTGCGTAGGTTATTTAAATTTTGCATGTTTTATTGTCAATTCGCGGGTGAGAAGTGTGTCATCTTAAATTGATAGTAAATTTTTTAATTATACAACTGTGCTCAGTACACTATAAAAAGATGATTCAAACAAGAGTTGAGCAAACTGCATAAAAGATATTCAGTGCACTGTAAAAAGAAGATTCAAACAAGAGTTGAACGATCTGCAGAAAAAGAAATCCCAAAGGAACGTACTGAATTCACAAAGTAAGTTTCCCTATTTTTGAAAATGGAATAAAATACCTTTTAAAAATTCAAAAAGCATATATTTACATCCTACAATATGTAGGTAATTATTTTTCATCATAAAGTTATACATTCGCACCACAGGATGCCACTCTTGTACTTTTTTCTAAGAAACGCACCCACTTTTATGCTACTGTTTTTCTATTCAGTTTTTATATGTTCCATTTTCTTATTTGTCAAGCTATCGAATTGAATTCCTGAAATTTTCGACTCTGATATAAGAAAAACAGGAGGAGTTCGAAGGGTGTATTGAAACTTCTTTCTTCAAAATTAAAGTTATTTTGCAGAATTATTCAAATTTATGTGATAACTTACAAAAATTTTTATGAAGTCACGCAAAACATGGCCTACTAGAAAATCCTAAACTTCTATGAAATTTTGGTAAGGGTGAGTTGTAGAAAGAACAGATTAAACGAAGTTTACAAAAACTTGGGATAATTTTTAAACTTAAATTATCAAATGGTGTGTTGTACAATAACTAATTAAAGGTCGGTTACCTAACAGCCGATTTTACAAAGTTGGCAGTACATTTTCGTTCGTCAGAACCGCGATATCCGTGCATCTGAACTACTAAAGAAATATGGCGCCTTTTTGAGAATAATTAATTTCCGACTTACTATTATCAAATTTTAGTATTTATAATGTAAACACAGTATTTAAATATGGACAAAGAAAAGGAGAAAAGTAAAAACCCGTGCACCAAGAAGAGAGAATCTTGTTATATTGCGTCCAAAAATATACCCAGTTTTTAGGTATCCGATGAACTGTATACTGTATGATTTACCAGTTCATTCAACTCCTCATCATCAGTATAATAATACAAATCCACCATTAAGTACATTAGTATTATTGGTACATTATGTACATTAGGTACATATTTGTTTTCACTTTTGGAATTTACTATTATTTTAAGAAATACGGATAGACTTTATAAGTCAGTTTTTAGTTAGTGTAATAACCATAGAGATAAATGGAAATAACAAAGAATCTTTCGTCCACGGAAAAATCAATAAAATGTATATTATATTTGATAAACTTAGTTTAAACTGCGAAATATGGTCGGTAAACTAAAACGCTGGTTAAACGAGGAATTTATCTTAAACTATATCGGTACAACACTCTTTGCATATTAAACTCCGTTTAATTCTTAACTCTTCTTTCTACAACCCGCCCTAAGGGGAATTAATTTTACCACAGTCAGAAATTTTAAATAATTTGTATAATTTGCTACAACTTTGGTCACAATAATTTTTTTCTGATTAGACAAATAGAAGAGATACAGGGATGCAAAAAAAATGCCCATAACTTTGTATTAATTGAACTGATTTTTAATAACTTTGGTTTCTTTGAAAAAGAATTTATGACCGATTTAAATTATCTATCTGAAAAAATTGTAGGAGTCTCATAACAATCTCACAGATTTTAATTTTTTTTTCAAATGTTGGAATGGCACCATACTACAGTGGTATTTCTGTGAGAAAGTACATGAAATTTATAAAAGAATAATGTAAACTGCAAGTCAATACCTGGCTTCCTTGTCGAGATAATTGCATAATTAATAATTTTTTATTGGAGCAAATGAGCACGACTCATTTTTTGAAGACGTACCTACCTATATTGAAAAAAAATATAATTTTAAAATTGCATTCCATATTTCTTCAAACCCCACCAATTCGTAATTTAGCATTTAATTTGAGTAGTCCGTTGCTTATCAGTCTGACAAATGTTACTTGAATTAATTATAGATTTGACAGTATATACAATCGAACTTCGATAACTCGAACCATGACTTGACACAAAGAAAGTTCAAGTTATCAAGAGTTCGAGTTATTGTGCAGTGAATTAGATGTGCATATGTGTATGTACATACAGGGTGGTCCAGATTTTAATAGACAAACTTCGGGAAAATACCAAACAGCAAAAAATGTATATTTAATATTTTAGATTGGGAGTAATCTAAAAAATTATGCCATTCCTATAGCAAATAGAGACCAGTTAGTGCAAAGGCTAAATAGGGCCTGCACTAATTTGAAGCAACATCCAGTTTTAATATGAGCTGCTGTGAATTCTATAACCAAAAGATGCCAAAAGACCGGTGTGAAATTGGCGACTAAAGTTGGCGACTGATATTTCCGAAGATAACCGAACATTCATGGGCGGAGGTACAAAATGTATTGCATCATAAAGGGTAATATAATATGTATCTCTTGTTGAAGAATTGCAATACCAAATGTTCACATTTTTTACAATTTTTGCTTTTTTTTATTAAAGGTTTCATCGACTCTCAACCTCCCCACTTTAATTTAAATAATAATTAGCATCACCGCTAGCACATAAACAAAGTAGGTATTTAAATTGTTCCTTTTTACAAAAATAATAATATCTCTCGTTTCGGGGTTATTAAAACAACCCTTCCGGTACTTGCGAGTCTATGAAATTTCAGCATTTCAAGAGAGCAGAGATATTATTATTTTCACGTTTTGGGGTTGTTAAAACAACCCTTCCGGTAATTGCGAGTCGATGAAATTTCAGCATTTCAAATAACACCCCGAATACTATTTTTCCAGAAAAAATGAAGTACTTATTATGTATGAGAGCGGAGATATTAATATTTTCACGTTTGGGGGTTGTTAAAAGAACTCTTCCGGTACTTGCGAGTCGATGAAATTTCAGCATTTCAAATAACACCCCGAATACTAATTTTCCAGAAAAAATTAAGTACTTATTATGTATGAGAGCGGAGACATTAATACATATTTTCACGTTTTGGGGTCGTTAAAACAACCCTTCCGGTACTTGCGAGTCGATGAAATTTCAGCATTTCAAAATACACCCCGAATACTATTTTTCCAGAAAAAATGAAGTGCTTATTATGTATGAGAGCGGAGATATTATTATATTCACGTTTCGGGGTTTTTAAAACAACCCTTACTGTACTTGCGAGTCGATGAAATTTCAGCATTTCAAAATACACCCTGAATACTATTGTTCCAAAAAAAATTAGATACTTATTATGTATGAGAGCGGTGATATTATTATTTTCAAATTTCGGGGTTGTTAAAACAACCCTTCCGGTACTTGCAAGTCGATGAAAGTTCAGCATTTCAAATAACACACCGAATACTATTTTTCCAGAAAAAATGGAGTACTTATTATGTATGAGAACGGAGATAGTATTATTTTTGTAAAAAGGAACAATTTAAATACCTACTTTGTTTATGTGCTAGCGGTGATGCTAATTATTATTTAAATTAAAGTGGGGAGGTTGAGAGTCGATGAAATCTTTAATAAAAAAAAGCAAAAATTGTAAAAAATGTGAACATTCGGTATTGCAATTCTTCAACAAGAGATACATATTATATTACCCTTTATGATGCAATACATTTTGTACCTCCACCCATGAATGTTCGGTTATCTTTGGAAATATTAGTCGCCAACTTTAGTCGCCAATTTCACACCGGTTGCCAAAAATGCATTGAGATTGGAGATGGATATTTCGAGCAATTGATTTAATTTATTTGTTTTTCATATGACTTTACTTGATGTTCGTGTTACTTGAAAGTTGAGCTGACATGTTTGCTATAATAGTAAAAATTTTTATCAAATTTGGACAAATTTGATGAAGTGGTTTTCCAGCTATTTAAAAAAAATTGCTTATTTTTGATAATTTCAACGCCCTGTATCTCATAAACGGTGGCTTTCTGCGCCTATGTTGATAAAGCAAAGATATTTTTGTTTTTTAGTACTTTCCCGAAGTTTGTCTATTAAAATCTGGACCACCCAAATTCGTTTTATTTTTCCCTATTTCAACGTTTTGTTTACTTAGATAACATGTCTCATAATTCGTAATCCATTCAGTTTTCATCTGGAATGTTTCAGACCGTTATAAAATGTATTTATATTACCAATTATTTCAGTGGCGTAGAAGTTTTACTTTAAATAAGGAAACGATATCTTTGTTTCTCCACCACTGGTTTTTGAATTAGGACTGTGTACATACATATGAGAAATATTTGAAAAAAAAAATGTGTACCAAATTTGGATAAATTTGATGAAGCGGTTTTCCAGATATTTAAAAAAATTGTTTTATTTTTGTTAATTTCAACGCCCTGTATCTCATAAACGTTGGCTTTCTGCGCCTATGTACATAGAGCAAAGTGATGTTAATTTTTGTTGTTTAGTACTTTCCCAAAGTTTGTCTATTAAAATCTGGACCACCCTGTATATACATATTTACTATTTGAGAAAAAAATATTTCACATATTGTTACAACGGCTATAGTTGTTTATTGCAATAATAGGCACTAATACATATATTGTAAATATATATACATATTTACGAGCATATGTACTTTATTCT